TAATCCACAGCACATGAGCATCAGAAGTCTGTTTCCAGCTTCAGCTGTCTCAGGACTCTGCATTTTAATCCTCCAGTATTCAACTCTCTGGAACCCAATAATGCAGATCCTCAGTCCCTACTACCCCATGATACAGAAGTTCAGTTCCAAGATTCCCTGTCCATAGCAGGAGACTTCAGACCCCAGCTCTACTTCTTTAAGTCTCAGGCATTCTGTATCTACCCTTCCCCCAAAGAACTGAGGATTCCTGTTCCCCAGTATGAACCTCACCTAGTTCATGCTCCACTTAATAGATCTCACTTCTCCAACACAGTAAGGCATACTCATTTTTCACCTCTTTAAGACCCAGGAATCATGTTTTCACACTTCTCCTCTATAGGAGCAAGGAAGACAATCCCTGGTCTTCCCTTCCTCAGGAAACAAGTCTCTAGAGACCATCAGCTCCACTTTCACATGTCCTAGGATTCCAGGCTTACAAAATCAATGTTTTTAAGACCCCAGACTCTGTCACCTCTTTAGTTCCCAGGAGGCACATCCTCAAGCATTTATCTTTGTAAGACCCAACATTCCAACTTCACATCCTCCATTCCCTAGACATAAGAATCATACCAGGTCCCAAGGATGCAATACCATAGTTTCTCTGCCTCCAGGACTGAGAACTACCTCTTTTGTTGTCTCTTTAGTACTTTCTAAACCTTTGTATGCTAATTCTTAAAGCCATGACCAGATTGAAGTCCAAAGTTTCTTAGAAAGGCTACCACCCCTGTTCACAATCTCCTCCAGTGAATGGTTAGAGCATCAAGCAGAAGACTCAGACCTGAACTATCCCTTTTCACTAATTCCTGAGCTCAACCTCACCCAAAGAGTGCAGATGGTTCTCCCTCTCTCGGTTGAAGACTCTCATGATCACTGCTGTCCACAAGTGTGCAGAATTCTGGTAACAGCAGTTTTTCTTTGCCACAACCTTTTCTCACTCTTCAAACCTATTCTCAACCAGGAAGAGAAAAAGAGAAGTGGTGACTGTCACCACATGAGCTACAGGAATGACGATTAGGATTAACCATAGATGGTATGGATTAATTCTAGGGTTTTCAGGGAGCGACGGGAAAGTTTAAAAGTCCAGAGCATTGGTCCATTCTTAGCTGAACAATCTCTTTGATGTCTTTAACAGAAACTATCTGAATTCAGCTAAAATATTCCCAGAATCTACACCAAGTTCTTTATATTCTACTACAGAGATATCTGCTCATTCATGTTCATTCCTGTAGTACTCATAATAGCCCAGAATTAGAAGGACCTGAAGTGTCTATTGACTAATGAAATAATAATGATGTTTTTGCACCTTTCCTATTATTATTTATTATTATTATTCCTATTGAATTTTATTTTTATTTTAATGTCTTTGATGTGATTGTGGAAGCCTATGTATAATTACAGACTTGAAAAGTGGAGACAGTGCCTGCCTAGAGCAAGTTGACTGGAAAGCCTAGACAACTTGGTGAGTTCTGGGTTTGACTGAGAGACCCTGACTCAAGGAGTAAATGGAAGAACACTGAAGGATGACCCTCATTATCAACCTCACCCTCCATATGGATGTGCACACATGCATAGCTAAATATGTTTAATTTTGTTAAGTTAATTTTGAAGATATTCTGTTACAGCAACAGGAAGTTAGGTGACACCTAGGACACTACTTCTTTCTCATCTCTTTAGAATGGCATCCCATTGGATAAACATTTCCTTCAATTCACCTATTTTTTTTTTTTAAAGAGAGCTCTTGGGGCTGCTTGTCAAGACTCTGACATGGGCCTAGGACAGGGAAATGGACTGCTTTGCAGAAATATGATATTATTTATTCTGATGGGTGTAAGTTTGTGTTCTCACTGTTGCTCAGCTCAGGCCACCGGCTCAGGCAGGCCAGAAGCACCACCCCTGTCACCCATGAGAAGCCAGTTTCTTGCAGGCCCATTTATCAATTGTTGATCTTAGAGCCTCAGCCAATGGAGTTCTGTTCAGGAAGTTGACTCCTGTACCAATGAGTTGAAGGCTATTTCTCACTTTCTGTTTTATTAGATTCAGTATATTCAGAGTTAAGTTAAGATCTTTGATCCACTTGGACTAGAGTTTTGTTTGGGTTTCATTCTCCAACAGTAGACCCACAGCCAAATATCAGGTGTTTCCAAGAGAGTCTAGTGGAAGAGTAAGGGATAGAAGTGAGCAAATGGAAGGGGTCAAGGATACCATAGAAAAACAGAGAATCACCATAACCTGTGCTTATAGGTCCTAATAGAGTCTGAATCAACAGCCAAGGAACTTTCATGGGAATAACCTAGGTCCTCTGCATACATGCTAGAGATGTATATCTTGGTCTTCTTTTGGGACTCCTAAGTGTGTGTGTGTGTGTGTGTGTGTGTGTGTGTGTGTATGTGTGTATGTATGTGTGTGGTGTCTCTGACTCTTTTACCTGCTTTTGGATCCCTTTTGTTTTTTATTGGATTGCCTTGTCTAGCCTCAATATGAGGAGAGGTGTCTAGTATTACTGCAACTTGATATGCCGTGTTTGGTTAATATCCTTAGGGAGTGTACCCTTTTCTGAAGGAAAATATTGTAGGAAGGCATGGTGGTGGGTAGGATTAGAAGTAATAGCCTGGGAAATATGGACAAAGAAAATCGACTTCTGTAATTCACATTGTGATTCAAAGAGAGCCAAAGTATTTGAAAGACGAAACAAAAAGGCTCCCAGGAATTTTATTCATAATGTGACAGATTGAAATAACTCAATGGGCTTAAATGGTTAAGAGGCTCACTCTGAAATAATATGTCTTTATACCTTCAGAGGCTAAAACATCTTCTGACTTTCTCTCTCTCTCTCTCACTTTCCTTCCTTCCCTTTTTCCTCACCTTTTTCTCTTCCTCCCTTCCTATTTGTGTGTGTGTGTGTGTGTGTGTGTGTGTGTGACTGAATGAGTTCATGAGCATGACATGCATGCCTTCAGAGATCAGAGAAGGATATTACATCTCCTAGAACTAGAGTTAAAGGTTATTATGGTTGAACTCAAATAAGGATACTCTATTACCTTCTCTTCTGCACCTCTCAGGTGTGGTGTCTCCTCTCCTTCCCAGGCATGGTGCCAACTCTCCTCCTCCATTCTCTTGCCCAGGAATCCTAAAAGACTTGTCTATGTCTCCCTGTCCAACCATTGGTCACCACAATCTTACTTATCAATCAAAACAACTAGGGGCAGGGTCTCTCATTCTCATTGTTGGACACTGTAAACAGGTTTTTGGGAAACCTAATTAGCATGAGAATAGAAGCAGCTACAGGTTATTGTGGACCACCAAATGTGGCTGCATGGAACTGAACCTAGGTCTGGTTCAAGAACAATAAGCTCTCTTAACCACTGTGCCATCTCTCAATTCCCTAGTGGCTTTCTTTTGTAACTGTTAATTAATTTCTTTCCTAAATAATTTCATAAATGTATAAAGTATGCATTACACACTCATCCTTACCATCCTCAATCTTTCTACCATCTCTGTCCACTCTCGTAAATTTTTATGATGCCCATATCTGTTTATTTTGTTTGTGATCTGCTTGATTTAACCAGGGTTGTGGGACTTCGTAAGGGTACCTTAGTTTTTGGCCTGGAACCCCGAGACTCCAAGGGAGAAATGGCAGGCATTTCGCCACATCACCATTACCCAGGGTCCTGACAAGCAGTCTAGTCTCCATGGACCTACATTGTTCAGTCACGTAGACTAGACCATTACAGTCCCTCTCAAAGTGCACATGTAGAGGGAATGACTACAGGCCTCAGGCCCTAGAGAGATTTACATACTAATGAAGGCTCAAGGATGGAGCCAATTAAACATTTTTTCTCAGACACTCCCCCTTTGTCCCTCCCTATTGAACTCAGGTCTGCCCTGAGTTTCAGTGGGTACATCCAGATCTCTGTGTCATCCGCCATGAAAATAAACCCTATTGGAACCAAGAACTTCCTCATGCCATTGGAGTCTTCCATCACCAAAGCTCCCAGCCTCTGGAACCTTAGACTTTCTCCTGTTTGTGGGACCCGCCATGTGGAATGTCTCTGAGACACCACCGCCACAGGTTTTTTTTTCCACACAGGGTCACTAGAATTTCCGAGGGACTCTTGCTCTCTATTGGAACACTGTGGACTCTGTAGTTGGTACACAACTAGAGACAATGATTTTCCTCTCTCAGAATCTATTAATAGTTTTTGAGGGGTAGTAGGTATGGCCCTATTAGCACCTGCCCATTACTGTACTGATAACCACATGTCTTGCATAGGTCCAGTACAGCTACCTTCTATTGTGAATTAATGATTGAAGTACCTGTATGGAATTTTTGCAGCCCTTGACTGTGCCTTCTGTCTTCTATGTACCCTTTACCCTCTTCTGTAATGTTGCATAAGACTTTGAGTGGGGAAATGTGTCTATGTCTTGGTTAGTGCTAAGCCTACAATTATCACTTATTCTCAGAATCTTGGATGGCCTTGAGACTGTGTATTCCACTGCTATCCAACGTAAGAACATTTTCTTAATGTCCTCCATAGTATGTTCATATACATTCCCTGTATATGGAATTCCCTGTGAATACTGGAAGTGGATGGTGGGTTTAATTTTATGAAAAATAATGTGTCTGTTTAAAGAAAATTATAGTAACTTGGTACAGTGGCCAGAATAAACTTCAATTCTCTATTTAGGAGGATAAAGCAGACAAATGCTGTAGTTAAAAGTGTTTCATTCAGGAGATAGGCTTACTGCTCATGCTCTCTTTGTACCTCTTTCTTCTATTAATAAAAACATTTGGATACGTGAGTTCCCTAACAAGAACCTCAGATAGTGATAGTCCTGCCTATTCCAGAAATCCAAATGGTCACTATACCTGATTCCTTTGTATCAACTTCACTTCTTATGCATTAGATTTGATTGAAATACTTTTCTGTTGCTATAATAAAATAACTAGACAGAAAGCAGCATAGGGATGAAACAGTTTATTTTAGCTTATGGTACCAAAGAGATAAGAGTTCTTTGTGGCGGTAGAGTCATACCAACAAGAGGGGATGGAAAAACATGGTGACAGGAGCAGGAAGTTGGCTGGCCATATTTTCAATCACACACAGGAGGAAGAGTGAGAACAGCAAGTTTGGTGATACTATAAACTCCAAAGCCCAACCCTTAAATGTACTTTCTCTAGCAATGTTCCATCTTCTAAAGGTTGCATAGCCCCCTTCAAGTAGCACCACCTACTGGGGACTAAGTATTGACATATGCTAACTTACGGAGGACATTTCTACTCAAAGCTCCAGAAATAATAAGGAATTCAGAAATTGATCCAGGAAGAAAGATGAAAACATGGGGAAAAAAACCCAACCTCAACCCAAAGTAAGTACACAGGAGAGGGCAGAAGTGTCTGGAAAAATAGAATTCAGATCTACGTTTGAGACCCAAGTACCCATAGAAAGACAGAAGGAACTGAAATGAACATACTTAAAGTTCAACTAGATGATAAATGGGCCTGTTTGTAGTCTATGAAGATGAACAGATTTCACTTAGGGCAAGGTGATGCAGGCTTCTTGCAGATCCAGAATGATTCAGATGAACACTTGATATCATTCCATCCATCATTTGAAAATATTGCACAATCTTCATTGCCTTTGTTGTTGGGTTCCCCTGCAGACCAATAGTTCCTGAAATCGAAAACCCCAAAGAATTGGAGCTGCTTTCCCAGCCCTATCATGTCAAACTTCTCTAACTTCTGGCAATGGGATCTTTTCTTATCTGTCCCATGTGCATATGGAGGTCATACTTCACTCAGATCCTGATAGCATGCTTAATTTATTTCTGTGAGAAACCAATATTCTATAATACAGAATTCAAGAGACTCCAACTGTGAAATTGAGGCAGCATTATCTTAGGTTTTGCAGAATCAAGTGGTAGCCTGGACAAATGTTCTTTGACCAGCATGTTAAACAGATGCCTGAATGCACACATGTACATGTCCATGCTTATGAACACCTATATGGTACAGATTTATATAAACCCATATTGATGTTTCTCTCTCTGTTTCTTCCTGTCACTGTCTTTTTTTTTTGTCTTTTTTCTCTCTCTGTCTCTGCCTCTCTGCCGCCCTGCACCCTCCCCTCTCTCACACACACACAGTATAAATACAGTGAAATGTGTCTGAAGGGATGGCATAGAAGTTAAAAACCCTTGCTCCTTTTCCACATAACCTAAGCTCGTTTTCCAGAACTCATGTAAGAGCACTCAGTACAGCCTGTAACTTCAGCTCTAGAGCTAGGATAACAGATGTTTGCTATGTGGGTGCTGTAAATCTAAACTCAGTCTTTATGCTTGCATGCTAGGCACTTTACTGAATAAACCAGTGAACCAGCTCACTAGCCTGAACCTAATGTTTTTAAAGAAAGGGTCTTTGCTGAACATGAAGTTAACCAATGAAGCTGAAGTAGCTGGCCAGTAGCCTTTAGGGATGATCTTGTCTTTGCCTCCTCGGCATACAGGCCTGTGACACCATGCTCAGCAGCAGTACTACAGGTGTATGTCACCATATCCAGATTTTTTTAAAATGTGTTTTTCTGTTTGGAAGCTGAACTCAGATCTTCATTCTTGTATGATAAACACTTTCCCAGGAAGTCATCTTCCAGGCCCCACAATGCTCTGATAACATCTTGTTTAATTTTTGTCTTATGACCAACCTTCAACTTCCTCTCAAGTAACTCTGATGGCGTTATGAGATACCAGCTTTTTTTTTTTTTAACTGGGTTCTGGGGATCAAATTCAGTTTCTTACAAAGCCAACACTTCACTGGCTAAAGTATTTCCCTCCCCAACTATTTAACACACTATATTTAAACAACCCAAACAAACTGCAAATTGATATTGCCACTCTGATTATAGAATTTAAAAGTCCTAAACCATCCTATCTGAGCATGGATATGAAGACGGACTCCTGCCCCAGTGACTGTCATGGACACTTAAGCCTAAGGCAGTTAGGGAGTGGCAAAGAACTTGGAGGACAGCTCAAGTCAGAGTTTCACAACCCCATCCCACTCTCTGTGATGTTCCCTGTTCCCAGGGTTACCTGGACAAAGGTGAGCCATCTACCCACTGCCACATGCCTTCCTGCTTCAGGTCTGAGAGAGCCATCCAGGCGTCTCCTTTATCCTTAGAAATCGAACTCAGGAATGTCTGGAAAGGAAAGAGAGAATTCAGTAGGGTTTTGACCTTATTTCCTATATCTTCCACCTAGTGAGTCCCCAGTTTTATTCTTATATCTGAGAGGAGCCCCTGACACGTGCTCCAGTGTCTGAGTCCCTTTTACATCTGTATCCTGTGGCCAAATGAGGTCTGACTTACAGAGTGTCCACACATGAAGTCTCCACACATGTTCCTGGAAGTGTTGCCAGTATCTGTGATGAGCATGCCCACACAAACGTACCTATGAGCTTTAATGTGCCAGAGCCAGATGGTTCAGGGTGGCTAGCAGTGCCCAGGATCTTTTTAGCTCTGCATCAAGCGATATCCCATTAGCAACACAGTGACATAATTTACACCAGAGAAAGTGATTAAAAGTATACGCTTCAATGTTTTTCCCTTACCAGAATTTTTTTTTATCTTTTTGATAGCATGCTAGCTGGGGTAATGTGATAGTTTTAAATGTCAACTTGACAGAACTGAGAATCACATAGGAGATAGGCTTCCTGGCACACCTACAAGGTGTTATCTATATTAAGTGATGTGAGAAGAGCCATTTTACCTGTGGGCAGAATCATTCCCTGAGCACAGGCCCTCAGGATTGGAAAATGGAGAAAGTGGGCTGAGCACCAGTGTTCATCACATTCTGCCACTGTGAATGCCATGCGGATGGCCCTCTCAAGCTCCTGTGGCTGTGACTTCCTGGTCAGGTTTGATGGTAACCCAGAGCAGTGGGCAAAGAAAGCATCTTTTCTCTTAAATTGCTTTTAAACATTTTAATTTATTATTGTGTTATGTGTATGTGTTTCTGTGTGGGTAGGTTCACATGTGAGTGCAGGTACCATAGAGGCCAGAAGAAGGCATCAGATCCTTTGGAGCTAGAGTTACAGTAACACGGATGACTTTATGAGTTTTCTGAAGCATTCATGCATGTTCAGAACTTGGTGCATCTACTTAGTGAGTGCTAGGGGTCCCCTCATTCTCATGTTGCCGAAACCCTCATTCCAAATGGAGTAAGCATTGCTTAACCAGAAACACTTTCTGGCCAACTATTGCCTTCAGACTCTATGATCATGCCCTGTCCCAGGATAAAGAACCCCATGAGGCATACCTGTTCTTCATCACTCTCAACAATGACTAGATGAGCCTCCACTTCCTGGCAAGCAGTGATAGAATCATTCCAGTTACGCTGAGACTTGGAGAAGTAATAACATTTTCTATGGAAGAATGTCCATTCCCAGGGGCAAGGACGGCAAAGGCTGTCTATTGGGGAAGGTGGATCAGTATAGATGCATACTTGGATGCCCATGATCTTAGGATTTCTCAAGCCCTCCAGACTTAGGACCCTCCCTCACTTGACGCTGCATCCTGGGGGAAACAGGCACTTAAGAGATCAAACCAGAGACCAAGAGTGTATCTTTACTACTGTGTGCATGGCCACTGTGAAAATTGAATGCCTACTGTGTGCACATCCCCATGACTCCTGGGAATACTGAGTGCCTACTTTGTGTGTCACCCCTGAGACCATAAGATGATACCCTGGTTGTTGTCCTGTGTTCCTATTAATTTGTTTACTTATCATGTGTGCATGCATGCATTTGTGTGTGTGAAGGTGTATACCTGGACTAATCTGGATGGCCAGTGAGTCTCGGGGACCCATCTGTCTGGATTTCTAAAATGCTGGGATTAAATACATTCATCCCCATGCATTTAAAAATGTAGGTTCTGTGACTCAAACTCAGATTCTGTATGGTAAGCACTTTACCAAGTGAGACATCAAGTCCCCACAGGAGTGGAAACTAAGGTCTGGAGAGGGTCAATATCTCAAGCATAGTGCCTTCAGAAGGAGACCTTTTCAGTTCCTAACGCCTGATTTCTGCTCACTTACCCACTCCAGTCTCCAGTTGCATCAGTTGCTTGTAGATTTTCTCATTCTCTGAGGAGCTGTGGCCCTTCAAACCTGCATGAAAAATCCAGAAACTATAATTGTAAAATACTCACTGTGTGTCATAGCCTGCTCTGGATCCTTGCAGCAGAAATATTCTCTAATAACATTTAAAGAGAAAAAAAAAAACAAATAGTGATGGCTGTACTACTACAAGAAATGGACATGGACCTTGTCCCTACTCTTACCCTCTTATGCTCCAGAGTGGGCACTCGCTCCCCTAGAGGCTATAGTATGGCCCATTTTCATTATTTCCTCCTAATCCCCTAAACATGGCCCAGATCCAGCTCTCACAGAAAGCCAGCCCAGAGGTGCAAAACCCCATTTCTGCCTGACCTTGAACAAGAACAGCCACAAGAAGCCCAGCCAGGAGCACAATGGAGAACAGATGCAACACCACAAGGCCATGGCTGTACCTCAGACACCCTGTGGGAGAGAGGGGTATTTCACAATAAGGCTGTCAATCACCTCTTTCCCCAGAAAACAGTAATTCATGTTCCAGCCTCAATTTATCTAGTGCTATGGAAACCAGTGTCCAGTCTCTAGGACTGAGCCTTTAGGTTCCAGAGGAACCCAGAGAAATGTCTAGTTCTCGAGGATACAAGACTCCTGACCCAGGCTTGTCTCCAAAGCAACTCAAAATACACACACACACACACACAATACTGTGTGTGGAGGCCAGTGGTGAATGTGTGTGTATGTGTATGTATCTATGCATGTATGTATGTATGTATGTATGTATGTATGTATGTATGTATGTATGCATACATGTATAACTGCGTGCGGAGGCCAGCAATGAGCTCTGTGTGTGTGTGTGTATGTGTGTGTGTGTACATGCACATATACAGGTGCACATGAGAGCGTGTTTGTGATGTATGTTTAAGTTTGTGTTTATGTGTGCATGCATACATAACTGTGTGTGGAGGCCATAGGTGAACACGCTGAAATCTGGAGCTACCTCCCACCAAACCACCAAGCTCCTTTCCTGCCTTACCTAGGGGGCCTAGTGGCTGCTTCTTATTCGCTTCCATAGAGACAATCATCACTGGTGCTGTCCTTCAATGCTGGAACCTGCTGGCAACACCAGATTTTGCTTTCTTTACTCTGAATCTGAACTCATAAAGAGAAAAAGGGGAAGTGAGTATCAGTGCCGGAAGAGGCTAGAAGGAGGCATTGAGCATCTGACACAGTATGACATTTGTCAGACCTTCCATGAAGTTAAGGGGCTGTTGAGGTGTGTTAGTTAATTCTTTCACTGCTGTGACCAAATATCTGACAACAAGAAACAAGACAGGGATTTTGGGGGGTTTTGCTCATAGCTTGAGGATATAGTCCATTCTGTTTTGGAAGTTAGAGAGACCAGAGCTTGAGGAAGCTGTGCACATTTTAACCACCTAGAATTGCCTCCCCCATATTTACTTTCACAGACAAACATGTCCAGACGTTTGTTTCTCAGATGATCTAAATTCCTACAAAGTTAATATTTAGGACTAGCCATCTCAGAAGGTTTAGGGTGAGCAGCCAAAAGAATTGGTCACTTGTGGTTGGTAAAACTGTGGGCATGTGGTGAGCAAAACCAATAACCTGCCCATGAGGCTTCTTCATTACACTTCCTGCACTAAAGAGGGAGGCAACTATCTATGTCAACACTCTCCACAAAACACTGTATCCAAGGTTTTCTGCTTTCGTTTACTTCACTCATAATAATTTTCAATGACTGACAGAGCTGAAGTCATCATTCTGTTTATTTAGCACCTGCAATCATTAGTCACTTTGCATGAGTGTGTCCAAATGCAGGTGTGTGTGTACATGGTGGTACATCAAGTGTTTGTATGTGTGCATACAGGTATATGTCTCTGTGAGCCTGTGTGTGTATGTGTGCATGTGCATGCTTGCACACATGAAACAGGTGACATCTGTGTGTGTTTGTATGCTGGTGAATGTCTTTGGGTGCCAGCTGCCATGCTAGGTATACTTCTCTCCCTCAGGGTGCAGGAGGCTGGACTAGGGGGAGAGAAGCTTATCCTGGTGCCGGTGGGTGCAGGCAAGATATTGGTAGGTGGTATGTGGGTAAATCACACACACACACACACACACAAACACACACGAACAGCTTCAGATAACTAATTTGGTTTATTGAGGGGAGAAAGATGTATTTATGTCCCTAGGGAAGTTGCCAGTCTCTGGGGCAAAGTTTGTGTGGCTCTGTACAATTAGCCAGGACATGGGCATTGGAAGACTCTTCATTTGCATGCTAAGGGACTATAGGGCCCAGGGAGAGAACCCTATAAAGTCAAACAAGGAGTGGAGTGTGATAACTGTACAGGCAGTAAATTCTTACTAGGCTTAATGGTGGGAGAGCTGGCTTTCTGGATCCAGATTGGGAATAGGAGAGGTATCCAACTCCTGCCATCCTGTCTTTGAGGTTTCTGGGATTGAAGCTGTCTCAACCCTTCCTCTGTGCCCCTTGGCCATTACAGTCCCACAGATGTATGAGTACGTATACATGCAAATGTTTGTATTAACCTGTGTATATAGATGTCTGCATATATTCAGGTGCACCTATGTGTACATGTTGGTGCATATGTGTGTGTGCATGTAGGTACATATATGTATGAATGTTCAAGTGTAGGTGAGTACATATGTGCATGCATGTGCATATGTGTATGTGCCTGCATATTTGTGTGAATACAAGTGCATACACAAATAGATGTGTTGTTGAAACTCTATCCTACCTTTGACTATTTAGTTTTCAGATAAATGGCACACACATCCTTTATATTTACAATAAGCCTTAATCAGCACAGAAACTGGGCAGATATATATACCCTATGCTATTATTTCTATTTTCCAGCCAGTAATCCCATATATAGTTTGCCATGATTCGTCTGGGCTGCTCCAATTAGTCAACCAAGATGGCCATTATTTTATGACTCACCTAAACCATGGAAGCTTTCTTCTTCCTCCACCTTCCTTCTCCCTCTTATGGTTCTCCTCTGATCCCAAGTACAGAAACCTTAAACCCTGCTTATGTCTATTCACCAATGAGAAATAAATAACTTGGGGGTAAGATCACATAATGTCACTTGTGTCCATAGTCTATGTGTGGACTCTCCTGTCTCTGTGACAACCAAACCTTGGGGACCTCAATTTAGCATTACAATACATAGCAAGAGACAAAACCCCAACATAGATGTTTAAAAAAAAAGCCTCACTTCTCAGACCTGACTCTCCACTCTACCCTCGAACTCTAGCACAGTAACCCTAGAGAATTCTGTAAATCAGGAAATGAAGACAATCACAGTGTCCTAAAACAGCATTCAAGGGCCTTCCGAAACCTCTCTTGACCTGAGTTTCAAAGAAGCTGTGTGGTTCTAGTAAACAGTGAAAGCCCAGAACTCCATATTAATGCCACCCATTTCTTGGTTTATAAACTGCCACAGAAAAATAAAGAAATGTTGGACATTTTGGTGAATCAACTGACAAATGTGTCAGTCACTTGAAACAGAAGCTAATGCATGTTGTGGGTATCTATAGTTCTGGTATCTAAATGGCACTATCCTAATGTAACCATCCTCAGGAGAATGAACATATTCAAAGAAACACATATGCCCACTCTTGGATGTCAAACTATTGGACCAATGGAACCTGTGGAGCAGTGGACCATGACACGAGACAGAAAACTTGGTAAAGTTGAATGGATTCAGGAATCCTAACAATTCTCATAATTGAGAATGGTAGGCATTTATATTAATGATACTCCCTACCAGTTTTCTGTCCTGGAAACTTGACCACAACACCCTATTGAGAGGACTGTTACAGTCAGTTACATAGACACAGCACCTAAAGTCCTTGCACATGCAAATGAGGCATCCCTAACATCTCAGAGCAAGCCAATAGAAAACATCTGCCTTTAGATCCAAGCCCACCCCCAAATGTATTTAAGGTCGTATCCACAAGATATAAAGTGCTCGAGTTATTTTACTAGAGATAGTAAAAGATCTATCTGAGAGTGCTTGTCTTATTGAGGTACAACACTCTGCAAGGCTATAGCTCGCATGTGGATGCGGGTCCTGTTGGGCCCACCTTGATTCAGGTCACACCTTGATTGAGAGTGCTTAACTCTAGTCTAGTTACAACTGAGCCTTGTGTTACATCTCTCAAGATGGATGTGAGTGGAGATGGATTCACTGCCTCTCATTGTTTCTTGTCAGAGGCCAGCTCTGGAGACCTGGTTCTCTCTTGAAGGTAGTAGGGGATGGGGGATAGCATTGGTGAGAGCAAGACTTGGCTTTGGGAGAAATTAGGGTTGCTTTCTATAATAATGTATACCTATCTTGACTAAGTTACTCTCAGGCCAGAAACTGCAGACCTCTGGACCTACTGACACTTTTTGCTAGCAGTGGGCGGGGTGGAGGGGGCCTAAGTGGGGTAGTTGGGGGATTAGGTAAAATATTTATTGCTAGTACTCCCTTCTCTGGCCAGGCAGCCTGAAGTCCCTTACTAACATGGCTGGTTAACTATTTGTAAACCAGAAATGAAGGAGTCACTCACACAGAAAACACACACACCGGATGAAGCAGAAAATAGCTACATCACATTTTCATTATTTATTTAGCTTTTTATAGCTTTTAGACACAGTCATACACAGACATTCTAGCTAGGCCTAGCCATCTGTCTCATCAGCTCCACAAGTGTTCATGCATGCTTGCATACATACACATATATCTTCATACGCGTATATACACAAACAGACATATACATTTGGATGGATGGATGGATGGATGGATGGATGGATAGATGGATGGATGGATGGGGCAGAGCCCCTCAAGCCAACAACCTTATTTATTTTCCTTGGTCTTTTTAATACCTTCTTAGACAACAGTTCTTAGAAAATTACCTCAGGGATAAATGTTACACAAAATGAGTTACAGAAGGATGCTGATATTAAGTTTAAAGCAGTGTTTCATTTTATGTGCTCATTATAGGTTCAAAGCAACAGTTTTTACAGGATCTTCCTTTATCATACTGCATACCTGTGGCTTTAGTTTTCTCTGTAAATGTTTTTCCTTGAACACAAATTTGATCCAATTATATTTTGCCTTTTAGTGCTTATGAAAGCTCATTTTATTTCTCATTATGCAACCATTATCTACTGTATGAGGGATGGGCACATTCTATTCTTGATTCTAATTTTATTACTTCTTTCTAGGAAATTAACTAAGACAATCTCTTAAAACTCTTATTCTAAAATTATTTGAATAAATCAGGAATTCGATAGAATCGTTAATTAATCTACACATCGTTAATTCATGAAAGTTCATCTTTATGATGATCTGCAAGAAATCTGATCAGTAGCATGGACTGTTATATTAATTTAATAATGACAGGAAAGGAACTTCAAAAAGAAATTCTGAGATGAAGTCTTTTTGGGACCTTACTTCATACAGCTCACACATCTAAGACAATGCCAAAGCAATTCACCACCTCCAAGAAGGCCACATGCTAGTCTTAATCCATCCTACATGGCTCCTAACAGTTCCTCTTCCCAATATAGCCATGTTCAATACATCTCTTTTTCTGCTTTTCACTAGTAATAGTCTTGAATTGCACTGTTAACAACAGTGGCTGAGCCTGTTGTTGGGAGCCTGTTAGGGACCAAGCTCTCAACCTAAATCTAGCAACATTAGTGGGAACTTTGCAGCATAATTTTGTTGGTGAAAAGTTTCTTTCCAGGCTCTTGTGTTATCTGCAATGTCAACTGAAACTGCAATGGAGGACTGTCTCCAGAGCTTTAGAATCCTATTCACCAGCAGAACCATTTCTATATGAGTGCTGCTAGACTTTACAAACCTTTTCCCCCCAAAACTGCAAGGAAAACCTCACCTGATTCTGTTTGGCCACCACTTAAGGCAACTCAAAGAATAAATATCAGTTTGTGCCTCTAGGTTTCTACCTTGAATTCCTTCCCTGACTTCCCTGGGTGACAATTATAAGCTTTAAGCTAAGTTAAGCCCTTCTTCCCTGAGTTTTTTAGTCACAGTGTTTTATCACTGTAACAGAAGCCCAAACTGTGATATCAGGTACTCTAGTTTATA